TTCACTTAATACATGTGTGACATACCACAAAAATGCAACAAATATACAAAACAGAAAATAGAACAAATATCCCTGCCTCAGGTAGCTAAATCATCTTACGTAAATAGTGTCTGAAGAGAGGAAAATAGGACACAAGATGGTTTGAAATGGATGGCCGTCATCTTTAAACACTACAACACCTCTTTCACCACTTCTGCCCTCCTCACCTGTAGTCTTATATGTATTAAACCACCCAGAGCCAGGCCTCCCTGGTGGCACAAGAGATTAAGTATCACACTATAAAGCAATCTGCAGCCTCTGCAGCACGAGTTCGATCCCTGGCCCGCCAGGTTGCAACCCACATGGCACAGCAGACCTCTCCTGACTCGCCCGCTGCTCCCCTCAGCAGTGTACTTTGGTCAATCTGCCTGTTCTGTTCCCCACACTGTCTCTGGTGAATCCTCTCACCGCCCCCCCTCCAATCTCTGGCCTGTACCCCATCTCTTGTTGCATAAATAAATCTTTAAAATAAATAAATAAATAAACCATCCAGAGTCAAACTTCAGAGTTACCTGTCGTATCTACATATCCCTCCTCATATCCCTGCTTCAGATTCTACTCCTTTACTCCATGCAAACTGTCTTCATTTAGGCCATCAAAGTCATGTGTTAACTTTTCAATCCTCGTCTTACTAGGTTTTTCATTATCTTCTGGCTCTGTTGATCATTTTTCCTTCTGGAAACATTGTGTGACCTTGAGTCACCTGGTTTTCCGTCCAACTCTGATTGTTCCTTCTCTCACAATGATGGTGTTCCACAAGATTCTGTCCTATCCAGAGCCTTTATTCATCTTATTCTAAGTCCTCATCTTCATATCCAGTTTTAACTGACATCAAATTATTGGTAAAATAAGATACAAGGCTGTATCTTCCCCTCATAGGTCTTATCAAAGCCTTAGATCTATAGTGTTTATTCATGATCTCTCTTAGATGGCTCAAAGACATCTCAGTTAATATGTCTAAAACTAGACTCATGAATCCTTTGTGCTATTCCTATTTCTTAGTGTTCGTCCTGGGATACAGACTACAAGCCAGAAACACAGGCATTAATCTACCTGTCAGAAACATAGGTCCCCATCTCACTGAAAGCCAAATTCAAACCATCATAATCATCTACTATTTTTAGTTCCGAAGTTATCTTCCCAATCTACCTATTTAGCTCCGTGCCCACTACCCCACCCTAGTCCATTAGCGGTCTGGTGCCTTTATAACAAGAACTACCTGTTCTCATTATACCATTTGGATCCCCTCCAATCCAATTCCCCAATCTTGTCATTTTCCCCCCAAAATGTTAAATTGAGCCCATCACCCCCTGTTTTTAAAACATCAAAGGTTTCCCATTTCAAAATGAATCCCAAATTCTCACCAGGATCTATCAATACCTTCATGGTATGGTCCTATCTAATACTCTTGCCACATCCTTCTGTCTCCCTTTATTCTACCCCCAAGGGTATTCTTTTGTTTCCTCAAAGGCTGTGTATCCTCATACCACATGGCCTTTGCACAAATTCTTCTCTCTCTCTGGATTGGTATGGCCCTATCTAATACTCTTGCCACATCCTTCTGTCCCCCTTTATTCTACCCCCAGGGATATTCTTTTGTTTCCTCAAAGGCCATGTACCCTCATACCACAGGGCCTTTGCACAAATTCTTCTCTCTCTCTCTGGGTTGCTCTCTATCCCATCAACCCTAGCATTAAACAAGGATCAGCTCTTAGGTCCAGTATAACTTCACCAAAGGAGGTTTCCTTTATCCAACAAGTCCAGGTCAATCCCCCTGGCATTTCCTTTAAGCATTTTCATTTAAAATTGAAACCATTAATATAATTTTTGATTGTGTCAGTCACCAACATTAGGAAAATTAGCTTTATGAGATCAGGGACCTTATGTTTTGCTCAACTTGGAAACTCTAGGATCTAACACAGTAGCCACTTCATAATAAGTACTCAGTAAATTCTGGATAAACATTGTATCCAGCAATCTCACAAAATAAGGTACATACGATGTCACACATCTCTGCATTCCTTATAATAGTGATTTATTTGAAACAATCTAATAACCTATCAGTTCGGGACTTGATTAAATATCTGTGATACATTGTCCAGATAATGTAATACTATGCAGTTACTTAAAGCAACATTATATTCATTGATAATGAAAGATCTTCACGAGCTACTTGTGAATAAAGCAAGGTAAAGCCACATGTTTGTAGTACGCAGCTGTTTGTATCAAAGGCAATGGTAAAGAATACATGCTGGAATTTTTTAATTAAACTACTGAGTGTTGACAAGAAACTAACAACAAATGGCTATGCATTTGGAGGGTGAATGGGAAGTGGTTGGATGGGTGTCAGAGGTGAGCAACTCTATCTATCATTTTATACTGTTAGATTTGGGACCCAAGTAAATGTGTTATCCACTCATAATTCAGTACATGAATTTAAAAAAAAAAAAAAAAACTGCTCCTTGCATGAAACCTAATCAAATCTGTTGAGTGGATGTAAGCACACATGTGGCTTCCCAACCATCAGTTCCCATCTCCAAACACATCCCCAGCACAACTGCTGCCACCTCTGCTACTGGATGTTCTGGGACTCCCCTGGGAACCAGCAGGAAGCTTTTCTAAATTTTAAAAATGCTGTCTTCAAATTCAGACTTCAAAATGATCTGTTTATAGTAATAAACCCTTTTATCATCCTTTATGGTTTACAAAGTACTTTCAACTCTGCTGTGATTAATAAGATAGTTTATACATCTTTAGACCCATTTTATAGATGAGAAAACTGGAGTTGTAAGAAATTATGGACCTGCCTGAGGTCATTCCTTTGGAAATGACAGAGCCCATCTGGATCTTCTGAAGACAAGTTTACATTCCTTCTGATGCAATTTGGAGGATGACAATCCCCCCTCATCTTTCCCAACTCCAAAAACAGAAGAGATGGCACAGAATTTCTCCCAGTCCCATGATGTTCTATGACAGACTGATATAAGTATATAAGTATAGGTCAGTCTGGGTCTTGGTCCTAGGGGACAATATTTGCAGAGAAAATATCCAACTTTTGCTTTGATTATTAGACTCACCCAGGAGGAGACTGGAAAAAAGTCCTTGGTGGGTGTGGAGAGAATCCTGCAGCAAATCCGGTGGATCCTCCAACTTGCCAACGACATCCCCTGAAGTCCCATTAACACCATGACACTGAACCAGAGAGGTGCCAAGAGTTTGGAACACTGCTGACTTCCTGGCAACTTTTGAAAATTGTGTTTCCACTTACTAAAGTGTGGGTGGGATGTGTGAAGATGGAACTAAAGAGGGAGGATTTCGCTGCTGGGGACTGAGTTGCAGGCCATGCTGGGGGCACATCACAAATGTTTCCCATTGTAAGATTTTCCTCCTGTCCTATTTCTTCACCTCCGGATTGACTCTAGAGTCCCAAAGTGATATGATCCTCCAGGACAGAGAAAGTGAGAACTTTCAGTGATGAGAACCAAATGTTCCCTTCCCAACCACAGGCTAGACCCACTGTGCAAGCTGAGTGGAGCTGAGGGAGCAACAACAGCAATAGCGGGAAGGACAAGAACTTGCTGATTTCTCTGGGATCTGTAATGTAAGATAGACCGTGTGGTACAAGAAAGAGGCTCAACATGCAGTTGGGGCCATTCGCAATGGTCTTAGGACATGTAAAAGATTCATGAGTTCTGATTTCTAGAAAGTCTCCTAACGCCTATTCTACTGGAATAAGAAGATGATTATGAACTGCTCTCTGATCTTTTCTACGACAAATAGAGACTGCTTCTGAGCAAATATGGCATATTTCTCTGGGCAGGAAAAGTCATATGACACTACCCTTCATGCAGGTGAAGTGAAAAGGGAGAGAACTTTCAGTATTGAGGAATGGAGCAAGCAATTGTCAATAATTCTTCCTGCTGTCAGTAGCATAGGCCTCTGAAAGTTTCAGTTCACAACTATTTTAATCACACCAGAGTACATGAAAATTTCTCAAGGAGCATCATAAAATGTAAATCATAAAATTTACAAAAAAGGAAATTTAATTCCATTTTAAAATTAAATTCTAAATTAACAAATTTTACTTAGCTCTCATGTGGTGCCTTGTTAAGTGGGCAGAAGATAAAAATGGAAAGAGCAAAGGTATTGCAAAGTGCAACATACATCAGATCTAACTTTTAAATTTGGCTACACAGCAGCTCAGCAACCTGGAACAATTACTTTATCCCCCCAAAGCTCTGGTTCTTCCTCAGAGCAATACCCACTGTTATCTAAGAGGCCAGGGTGATTAGAGAGAAAGGAAAGGAATTCTCCAAGATCAACATCTGACCACCAGAAATAGTGCTGCCTTCACACTGAAATAATTTTCCACAGTCCTATTGTTCTATTTCTTCTCAAATGATGGAAAATCTAATTCCAGGGAAATCTTAATAGCTTCATTATGTGACCATAGGGCTAATAAGTTATGTACTAATGAGTTTGGGGGCAAAGCTACTAGGGTATTTTTGGAATAATTATCTGATCTCTTGATATAAATCTATTGTTACCAAGACTCTACTTGTAAAAGCAAAGCTCTGACAAAATGAAGCAAAGGCTCAAGCCTGAGAAGATTTCACTGGAACAAGCTAAGGTGTGACACAGGCTCAGAATATTCAGGCTCACCCTGGCAGGTCCAGTTCAATATGGAGTACATGCCAGTACAGATTGGGAGGAGGAGAGAACAGAAGTTTGGGATCATGTTGGGAGTAAAATACAGGTCACTCGTTCAGAAAATTCTGAAAATTATGGAGGAAGGGTGAGAGGAATCCAAACTGCTGTCAGTAGCGCAGGACTAAGGAAGAAACCGCTGAATAATGTCAAGGAAGTAACAATAAACAGTTTTCCTTAGTTGGACATACCTGTCACACAAGATTTCAAAATCCTATGATTTTGCTCTGGCACTTAGCAAAGCTATTTCTTACCCTGTTGTCTTCCTGAATCTCCCAATCACTGGAGAAAGCCATCAGCTGCTGTCCTTGGGAACAGTTTGAGAACTGGAATAGGCTGGAAAACATCCTTCTGTTTTCTTGAGTGTCTGGAAAGATGGCATCTTGGTAATTGACGCCATGAGGCAAGAGATTATAATTTTCATCCATCCTAATGGGAAAGAGGAAAAAAGCAGAATGTAGACTGGACACCCACGGAGTACACCAGCTTTAATCAAGTGTCACAAAGTCTGAGCGCCTTGCCAATCACTGTCTCACAAGGCTCTCATTAGAGGAATTACTATTTCAAATTATTTCTCTGCCTCACACGACAAGAGTTAACCTTAAGGTTTTCAAAAAGGTGAGTCTGAGTAAAGCAGGGGGGAAATTGTGTACATTTGTGGGGTTTTTCCTATTTTTATCTCTCTCAAGTCACCCAAGGGGACTTTCTTCTCATTGGGTTTTTCGGTTTTTCCTGTTTCTTGGTAAAATTCCTATTGCTTAGTGAAAGTGATAACCAGGGTTCAAATGCTGCCATTACTACTTACCTTCTGTTAAATGCCGATTCAACATGCTGATTTGTTAAAAAGGGAATAATTGCACCATCTTGGTAGGGGTGTTAAGGATTGCATTAGAAAATGGAGTAAATGAGGTACTTCACACAGAGTGAGTGCAATATAAATGTCAGTATTTTTACTGACCCTCATGCAAATTGTTTGTTAGAAAGATAAAGAAGTCATAAAAAAGTAAAAGGATGGAAGTCACACCCCAGCCCAAAGGGGCACACAGGGCTCACCAGTGAACCTTGACCACCTCCGTGTTCTGTAACACTGTTCTCGTCTGAGTGGGTCGCAGTATAATGGAGGAAGTTCCATGAATGATTTGTAAGCAGCTAACACATCAGGACAAACAGCCCCATGCAGTGGAAATGGGTCAGACTACACTTTAATGCTATAGCAACTTTTTGTAAATGTCAGAGCAAAGGATAAAGGGGCTTGCTGGCCGCCACAGAGCCAGTGAGCAGCACTGAATTTTGTGATAAAATAGGAAAAGATAGTGTCTATTCAAGTTCTTGGGCTCTTTTTTCTTTGGAAAATGATGTTTCACTTTTGAATAGTTTTATAGTTCTAGTCTCAGTGTTTTTCCTAAGGAAAAACAAGAAAAATCTGAAGTAAACATCTTTGTATCAAGAAAGGTACTGCCTTGGTTCTTGCTGGATTTAGAAGTGATACTTCCCTAGAACTTAAAAAATATTCTGTTTAACTAAACCACTCAAGCCAACACAAAGCACGCCATGTATTCTAAACTTAAACTGGCTTCAATATGGAACACATGTGTTGCCACGAGCTATGGAACTTACTGTTTTCCTTCTCAGAATGATGTGGAATGTCAAGAGCTAAAAGTGAACCTGCAGACTGAGGTCCTCATCATTCCAAATATACTTACTGCTACTTTGCAACGGGGGAGACTACAACTATCACCAGTCACAATTTGGGGTTAATTTGCTTTCTTGATATATATATGCTAGATTCCAGTCTGATGTTCTTCAGCTGTTCTGTATCATTCTTAATTCAACTGGAGACAATTAGTGCACTTGGGGCTCCACCTGGCTCTTGATTTCAAATTTCAGTCAAGGCCACTGACTGCATTCTTAACCACACACATTCCATCTCGACCACAGACCAACTTGCATGGAACTTTGCAAAGAATCCAGGAGTCTCCAATCAGAGAAGGCCTCCCGCCTTATCCACCTCTAGTTTTCAAAGCTCTGTGACTCGGGGTCTTCCATGCAGCAGATCCCTCATAAACCCTGACTATTTGGAATAGCCAGGCACTGGAGTGTGTTGGCAGTTGCCATGAGAGAAGGAGCAGCTGGACTGCCTTCTACCCAGTTCACAGCTCCTCATTTAAGCAGGTGGGAGGAGAGAGGTGCCCTGGTTCCCCTGCACCAGGTGTTCTGCATCAGTTACTATGTCTCAACCAACCTTGTCTCTCACATTATGAAGGTGAGGACATAGGTTCCTGAGGTCAGTAACTTGCTCAAAATCACAGTAGAACCAGAATTCTGAAAACAGTGGGATTTCAGTCCCCCCAACCCCATCCCATATTATTCTCACTGGCTAAAATTTTTTAAAAATTGAATTAAATGGATTGTTGGAAACCACCTCAATGAAGGTTTTCCTGGACAACTCTTCCATTCTTAAACACAGAGAGAGAGAGAGAGAGAGAAATCCCTTTTTGTCAACAGCCTGAAACCGGGTACCAAGTTTAGAGACGCTGGGCAGAGCAGGAGACTCGAGTAAGGAGGGGAGCGTGGGGCACATTCTGATTTGACATGAACAGGACTCCGCCGGCCTGCCTGCCTGGCTCTTGAGGATGGTGACCTCAGGAGGTCAGCAAACAGGCAGGAGGGGTGCTGTAGAGGGTGGGGGTGCCGGGCTCACCTGAGGAAGAAGAAATAGGAGTAATCCTGCACCACGGTGTGGGAATGACACGAGAAGTAGCCCAGGCCTGTGAGGTTGAGCCTGGAGCCCGCGGGCACCTCAAGCATGCTGCCCCAAGCCTGGTCACACAGCATCTCTATCTCGGCCGAGTAGAAGAGCCCGGCCTCGCTGGCCTCGTACTGCCAGGGCAGGTAGTTGTACAGGCCGGGCACCTCCTGGTGCAGCGCCAGCACCTTGGCGTACACGATGATCTCCGCCAGCTCCGCGCGGCAGCCCTCGCTCAGGGGTCTCCATTCCGACGGCAGCTGGCAGCCAGCGGCGGGTCCGAGCCCGCCGGCCAGGCAGAGCGCGGCGAGCAGCAGCGGGTGCAACATACCTGCGGCTAAGGGGCGGCGCCCCGGGAGCACTAGCCTGGGCGCATGGGGGACTCCCGGGGCGGGCGGGACCGAGCCGAGGCGCACGGTCAAGGGGCGCAGAAGGGGTCCGAGAGCCAGGAGCGCCCTCCCTGGGCGACAGCACCTCCCCACCGGCCCGGGGCGCACAGCCCGGGGTGCGCGGCCGCTCGCGCTGCTCCCGGGAACTGGGCGCGCGGCTCTCTCCGCGCCGGACTCGCCGTGCCCGGCCCGCGCCCGCGACACTTTAAAGGGCTCGCGGGGCGGGTCTGCCCCCGCCCCCAGCCCTGCCCCCAGCGGCTGGGGCGCGCACGGCGGCGCGGTGAAGGGGGCCGTCCCGGCCGGGGTGCGCCGCTGGCCAGGGGCGTGCGTGGTGCGTTGAGCAGGGGGTGCGGGGCGTGGCGAGAAAGTCAGCGCTGGAGACTCGGCCCAGCCTCTCCGCGCGCCCCTCTGAAGGTCTAGGGAAAGCCTCTCCTGGGGGAGTCAACGTGACTTCTGAAAGCCTGGCAGCCTTCAAATATCTGCTAAGATCCTGATTGCCCGCATACGTTTTTTACAAGTTCTATGTAGATCATTTAGTCAAAATACAGAGGACTGAAATCTACTTTACCATCACTGAGGTGATTCAGCGTGGGCCAATAAACTTTATTCTCTCTCTCTCTCTCTCTCTCTCTCTCTCTCTCTCTCTCTCTCTCTCTCATATGAGGAATGCCTTAAAAAGATTTGAAAAACCATTTCACCCGGGTATTTCTAAACCCAGATAATCTAAATCTTTTTTTTTTTTTAAGATTTATTTATGAATACAAGAGATGGGGTACAGGCCAGAAATGGGGGTGGGAACTGAGAGGATTCACCAGAGACTGTGGGAACAGAACAGGCAGACTGAAATAAAGTGCTGAGGGGAGCAGCAGGCGAGACAGGAGAGGTCTGCCTTGCCATGTGGGTTGCTCCCTGGCCGACCAGGGATAGAACTCGTGCTGCAGAGGCTGCAGATTGCTTCATGGTAAAGTGCTTAACCCCTTGAGCCACCAGGGAGGCCCAGGTTTAAATCGTTCTTACTGCTACACTCTAAACACCTTACACCTGAGAAAACAATTTAGAAGTATATTCCAGCCAGTTTTTAAGTCAATGAGTGATTATGACAGATCCACACTCAACAGTTCTCTTTCTCCCTAAATGCAAAGGTTCCTTTTATCTTTATATTACCTGTTTTTCCTAATCGAGAAAGAAAAACAAAGAGGATATTGATTATTGATAAATATGTTTATTTTATCATGCATATACTATACATAAGTAAGGGGCAGGAATGGGCACAGTGCAAGTTATCTAATCCAGCAGACCGGGTAAAGGACCGAGTCCTGGAGCCCTCAGTGGCTTTTGCAGGCTTTTAATGGGATTTAGCAGGTACACAGCAGGCAGGGGTGCTGGGGGGCGGGGAGGCTGGCAGGCCTCTCAGCCCCTAGCAAGTCTTCACTCTTTCTGGGGTCTCCGGCCTTCTCTCACGTTCTCTGCTTCTCTTGTGGTTCTTCTCGTTTGTTCTTCTTCTCTCGGCTTCTCTCTGCTTTGCTTCTGCTTCTTCTGCTTCTCTCTGGCGTCCCGTGATGCCACCCTTAAAAGCCCAGTCTTAGCCCAGGTGAATCCCACCTAGATATGCCCACACACTACTCCAGGTGCCCGCTATCAGGCATGCAATCCTAATGGTGGGAGGACAGAAAAGCCTGATACCTTAGGTTACCCTAAAAATATAACATAAATGTGCTATATAATACGTATTTATAATGAATTTGTAACCAAACTACCTTATTGTGGAAGGTTCTTTAGTCTGCAAACATCTTATTAATTTGGATTTCTGCTAGTTTGCGCCTTGGCACCCAACTGAATTCTTCTTTGTACTGAATGGAAGAAAGGTTCTGGGAAAGGTTAGGGAGAAAAGAGGAGAGAGAAGGAGGAGAGACATTTGAAAGGCCAACCTCACTCACCCCAACCCCCATAATCTGCAAATCTTCCTGTGATCAGTTAAAACAATTAAATACTTGAATCCTTGTGGTGAGCCTGTTGGAAGCTCTGCAGTACAAATCTAACAGGGTCTGGCAGGAGCTCAAGAAGGGTCCAGGAGAAGGATAGTCCTTGAGGAATGGGAAGAAATCGCAGGGAGGGCCTTGTGTCCATCTAATCCAGCCAGCTTTGCAGGACTTGGGAGGGAATGGAGGGTTGCAGCTGATGTGAAGCTCAAACATACTAGCCCAGAATCTGGTCAGAGATTCAAATCTACCCAATTCTTGTTCTTACAAAATCCTCTGTGATGGCCTAAAAGCAGAAAGAAGTTCTTTAAAGACAATTACTAACCCATGCTATCTAGTAATCAGCCTAGGACCTCAAAAGGTTTTGTAGGGGGAAAAAATCATTATTATTAGAGGGAATCAAGTGGACAGTAGTCCCTACGACATAAATGTTGTTACCTCCCTGTAGGGTAAGGAAAAATGTCAGGCTTTTCTGCCCTCCTGCCATCAGGACAGATGATGGATCCTTGCGGTCCTGAATGCATGCCTGATGGCGGGCACCTGGAATAGGGTGTGGGCATAGGTAGATGAGATTCACCCGGGCTAAGACTGGGCTTTTAAGGGCGGTGTAGGGTAAAGAAAATGTCAGGCTTTTCTGCCCTTCCGCCATCAGGATAGATGATGGATCCTTGTCCTGAATGCATGCCTGATGGCGGGCACCTTGAATAGGGTGTGGGCATAGGTAGATGGGATTCACCCGGGCTAAGACTGGGCTTTTAAGGGCGGCATCAGGGGGACGCCAGCAGCAGCAGCAGAAGCTGAGAAAGAAGCCGATGAGAGAAGCAAAGAAGCAGAAGCAGAGAACACCAGAGAGCCCAGATAGAGTGAGGATTTGCTGGGGGCTGGGAGGCCTGCCAGCCTCCTAGCCCCCCAGCCAGCACCCCTGCCTGCCATATGCCTGGTGAACCCCAAAAAAAGACCGGCAAAAAAACCACTGAGGACTCTGACTCCTCCTTCACCCGGTCTGCATGGGATCAGAGAACCTGCACTGTGCCCAGTCCGGCCTTTACAGGTGGCGTCACGGGGACGCCAGCAGCAGCAGCAGAAGCCGAGCAGAAGCCGAGAGAGAAGCAAGAGAAGCAGAAGCCAAGAGAAGGCCAGAGAGCCCAGAGTGAAGACCTGCTGGGGGCTGAGGACTGCCAGCTTCCTGGCCCCCCAGCACCCCTGCCTGCTGTGTGCCTGGTGAACCCCAATAAAAACCTGCAAAACCACTGAGGACTCTGACTCCTCCTTTACCTGGTCTGCATGGGATCAGGAAACCTGCACTGTGGTCCATTCCAGCCCCTACAATTGGCATAAGTCGGCAAGATGATCCATGCAGACGGGTATGGAGCCCTCCGAAGACCTGGAGGGACTAAGGAGTAACAGACTTTGCCTGTGACGACGCTGGAGGAGTCATAGCGACCCAGGAGATGGACAAAGTCCAGGATCTACAGGACAAGACCATACCTGGAGGAGGAGATGCCCTAGAGGACCAGCCAAGGACACCCAAAAAGACCAGCCAATGACCCCTGAGGCAGCAAGAATCATCGGGGCGACAGGGCCACAATTTGGAGCTCGCCAGTGCTGATTCAGGGAGAGGCCAACGGACTTCGACTGATGGACATGGACTGATAAATTTGGACTGACAATCCCGCCAGAAGGCAGAGGACCTTGGCAGATTATGTTTTTTTGGGAATCTGGGGGTGGCCAGTAGGCCTTGGTGGCCAAAAGCAGCCTGTGTATGCCCAACAGCCAGGCAGAGGAGAAAAGCCAACTGAGAAGGCAAAAGCTGGTGCTGATGCTAAGTTGAGAAGCCCTGAGTGGCTGTTAAGCAGCCTGAGTATGCTGAAGACCTGTGAGTCTCGTAAAATCACCTGTGGGTGATGCCCTGCTCGTTGTAGAGTGAGGGTGAGGAGCTGAGGAACCCGTCCTTGGGGGATGGGTGGGGAACGTGGCTTGGGGTGGAGCCCAAGCCTAAGAGGGGACCCGAAAGAGGCCGAATGTAGAGTTTGGATCCCCGACCCATGTGCTTGTGCGGTGGGTTGGCCTGAGTGCAGGGGTCTGCGAGTCGCATTGGTGGCTATGAAAGCCAAATGTTGGAGCTACAGCAGACAGAAACCCCGAGGGTTTGGTGATTACCCCCAAAGAGTAGAGAATCCCCAGTCCCGGAGTGAGTGCATCCTGGGGGTGGATGCTGTGTGTGCCTTGTAGCCGAGACTACAGCCAGAGAAGGCCAGGAAGCCTGATGGCTCCTGGTATGTTATAGCAGATGCCGTGTGTGATTTCCCCTCCCTTGTATGAGCAGTGCCTTTGGCAGCAGATTTGGTGGCTCATCTGCTGGTACCAATAATTGTCTTTTGCACTAGGTTGGGGCCCTGCCTGGACTTATTTGTGTTCTGTTGTATTTTGTTATATTTGATGTATTTGCTTTTGTGGGCCATGGCTGCATTGTTTGTTTGCTTAGAAAATTGTATATATATGTATAGACTGTATGGCAGAAAACCCTGAGGGGGTGGACTGTAGGGTAAGGAAAAATGTCAGGCTTTTCTGCCCTCCCACCATCAGGACATGATGGATCCTTGCGGTCCTGAATGCATGCCTGATGGCGGGCACCTGGAATAGGGTGTGGGCATAGGTAGATGGGATTCACCCGGGCTAAGACTGGGCTTTTAAGGGCGGCGTCACGGGGACGCCAGCAGCAGCAGCAGAAGCCGAGAGAGAAGCAAGAGAAGCAAAAGCCAAGAGAAGGCCAGAGAGCCCAGAGTGAAGACCTGCTGGGGGGTGGGAGGACTGCCAACTTCCTGGCCCCCCAGCACCTCTGCCTTCCGTGTGCCCGGTGAACCCCAATAAAAACCTGCAAAGCCACTGAGGACTCTGACTCCTCCTTTACCTGGTCTGCTGGATCAGAAAACCTGCACCGTGGTCCATTCCTGCCCTTTACACTCCCCCATGGCAGATATCAGTAAATGGCATTCAAGATCACATCAGCCACAGTATCTCAGCATTGTTAATTTGTTTATTAAAT